TAGCCAAGCTGTGCTGCAATAACAGCTGCCTGTGCTACTGCAGATACACTATTTATACTCATGCTCACTTGATGAGAGCTAGCATAAGTATATGTATGCAATCTGGGAATCAGACCCCTAGCTTCTATTGTAGACATAGCATAAGAATGTTGCCAAAGGAAGAAGTAAGATGGCAAGAGAATTACTCTGTATTTTGATTTGCTTTCTTCTCATGTTTTTGTTGTATATTTCAAGTGTATTGAAGTGTTTAAACCAGGGGTGGGCAAACTTTTTGGCCCAAGGGCCACATCGGGAAATAGAAATTGTATGGCGGGCCATGAATGCTCACAAAATTCGGGTTGGGGTGCGGAAGGGGGTGCAGGCTCTGGGGGTGAGGCTGGGGATGAGGAGTCTGGGGTTTGGATGCTCTGGGCTGAGACTGAGGGGTTTGGAGGGTGGGAAGGGGATCAGGGCTGGGGCAGGGGTGCAGAAAGGGGTGCAGGTTTCAGCTGGGGGTGCGGGATCTGGAGTGGGGCTGGGAATAAGAGGTTTGGGGGTGCAGGAGGGTGCTCCGGGCTGGGATTGAGGGGTTTGGAGAGCAGGAGGGGGATCAGGCCTGGGGCAGGGGGTTGGGGTGTGGGGAAAGGCTCAGGGGTGCAGGCTCCGAGAGGCGCTTACCTCAAGCGACTCCTGGAAGCAGTGGCATGTCCCTTCTCCGGCTCCTACGCAGACGCATGGCCAGGTGGCTCTGCACACTGCCCCATCCGCAGGAACCGCCCCTGCAGCTCCCAGAGGGGGCTGTAGGAGCTGGACTGGGGCCATGGTGTGGCTCCCAACCCTGCGCCCTGGCCAGAGCACCAGAACGGGGCGAACCCTTGTGGTGCGGTTCCTGACCTTGCGCCTCCCAACCAGGCCGGAGCGGGGCCGAGCCGCTGGTGCGGCCCCCGACCCAGCCCCCCAGCCGGAGTGGGGCAGACCCGCGTGGTGTGGCCCCCGACTCAGTGCCCCAGCCGGAGCGGGCAGACCTGTGTGGTGTGGCCCCCGACTCAGCGCCCCGGCTGGAGCGGGGCCAAGCCACGTGGTGTGGCCCCCAACTCAGCGCCCTGGCCGGAGCGGGGCCAAGCCGCGTGGTGTGGTTCGCCGGCCAGCTTAAAACATCTCGTGGGCCGGATCCAGCCCGCGGGCCATAGTTTGCCCACTCCTGGTTTAAACCCTTCTTGATCCTACAGTGAAAAAGATGTCATTGGCAAACGGTATTCATGTTCATTTTGGTAGAATCAGACGCTGACTCTGAAATCTCCACTTTGTCTATGATGAGTTCTCACAGCTAGAAATTTGCTCTGAATTGAGATTTTCATTTTTCCTGTAAATTGTTCTAAGGAGAAAAGTAATATAGAGAATTTATATTACCACGGGTTCTGCAGGCATATGCTGAACTTCTGATGGGACGTGATGCTGGCAGAGGTAGGTATCAGCTCTTGCTAAGGCTTTAGGCCTCAGCTGAGCACTGACAAATTCATTGCTGGATGAATACTGAACTTATAACAATGTGTTTAGACTTTATGAAATGCTTGCAAATTGCTGCATACATTAATCTCACTTATTATATCTTTATCACATGCTATAAGGTAATATTTAAGGTTCTGCTTTGTAAAAATTTTTGCTCTGAAACTGAACCCAGTCAGGAGGGATCATCTTCTAGCCATCAAAAATGCCTATCAAAACTACATGGGCCACTGTGAGACATCACAATACAAAGACTTTGTTAACTGCCCTTTCACATCCATAAAGAGGCTATACGCAAAAGGGCTCTTCCCATCAGCTTGAATTCTGGAAAAAAAGAAATAAAAACAGCTGACGAGGAAATTTTTCATCTCTCCTTTGCTGTTTGGGTATGTAGACATACCCTCAACTAGACACCCGCGGCTGGCCTGTGGCAGCCAACTTGGGCTCGCAGGGCTTGGGCTGTGGGTCTGTTTCACTGCTGCGTAGACTTCCGAGCAAGGGCAGGAGCCCTGGCCCTAGGGTCTTGCGAGGGTCCCAGAACCTGGACTCCAGCCCAGGCCCAGAAGCAGAGCTTAATTTGTGCCAGGGCTTGCCAGCGCTGAGCCCTGGCACCTCTAGGCTTGGCAATTCATACCCCTGCCACCTCTGGACTTGTTGTGTCAGTTATGAAAATATAAAAATTGCTTGAGTCTCGGTACTTAATTGCTTGAGTCCCGGCACCTCTTTCATTACAAATTAAACACTGTCCAGAAGTCTACACAGCAATGAAACAGCCCCACTAGCCTGAGTCAGCTGGCATGGTCCAGCCACGGGTGTCAGTTGCTGTGGTCAGTTCCGTAATACCCTGACTGGGCCGGAACTACGAACCAGAAGCAGAGATCCCCAGGGTCAACCTTGGTTAGCCCTACAAGACATCAGTGCTGACAGATCACTACAACTCTGTCATCTTTACAAACCACAGACTGTAACTCAATTGTGTATATATGCTTGCCTGCTTTAAACCTTGTAATAATATTAATTTATTTTTCCTAGTTAATAAATCTTTAGTTAATTATAGGATTGTCTACAAGTGTTGTCTTTGGTGAGAAATCTAAGGTACAAATTGATCTGGGGGTTCGGGTGGTAAGTGACTGGTCTCTTGGGACTGGAAGCAACCTGAATATTTTGTGATCTTTGGTGTATAACAACCAACTATCAGTCCAGCCTGCCCGGGTGGCAAGACAGTCTCCTTCAGCATTCCAGTCTGTCTGTAACTCCATGGTAAGACTGTTATAATACTTTAGGGGTTCATACTTGTTACTGGGTTGGTAAAATGTAATTATAGAACATACAATCAGTTTGGGATCCCTGCCCTGCTTCTTGACAGTCTGCCGTGTAGCTGGCACTCATGGCCGTGAGCCACTCCAAACAGTCTGATGGTCGGATTTCCCCTTACATGGCTGAGTTCAGTGTAGCTGCTCCTGGTAGCTCTGCAAAGGAGGGGGCACTCAAGTAGAGATTGGCAAAAGAGTTATGAAACAATCAAAATTACCATATTACTTCCAGCTCTATTTACAAACACATAAAAAAGCAATACTTGGGAAATGAAAGAGATAAAATGAGTTTTTACGGAAAAATCACAGTGAAGCATTAGAGATAAAAACTTCTAAATTTAAAACTCGTGAAAAAGAAGAGCATCCACTTGCAGTGTCAGGTACCACACCCGCCCCTTCCTGTCCCTCTGCCAGTTGTTAATTTTTTTAAAGTGTTTTTTAAAGTGTTTTTTTCTCACCTGTTGTTTGAAAAATCCAAACAACAGGGGAAACTAAGTGGCTTATACATAGGAAAAAACAGTGAAAACGACTGTACACAAAGGGCTGTAAATACACAAACCAAGAAAACATTTTTACTTTCCCCCCCCCTCCCAGTTATAGTGACCTTTGGAGCTACTTACAATAGCAGGTAAACACTTTTAGGACAAACTTCTAAATTGATAGTGTCCCTTTAACCATAAGTGGACATAGCCAAGAGCTCTGGGACGGGATAGCAATGACAATGTGCAAGGAATATATGTATTATTTGTATTATGTACACAGTATTTGCATTACTTCTCAAATACCCATTACTGCAAAGGTCACCTCTCATCTTCACTCAAATTTAGTTCCATTCAACACAAATATCTTGTTTTCTCATTGCTGCAAAGTACTTACATTGTGAACCCTTCCATTGGCTTTCCTTTCTCCATTACACAAGCTTCTTGACCCCACCTTGAAGATCTCTTGTTCCCACCTTCAAGGCCCTACATGGATCTGCCCATCCTCCCCCTTCATTCAACTCCTAAAATGATGCCCCATTTGTCCACTTCTTCCACAACAGTCTACATGCCTTTTTTCACACTGCCCCCACTGCACTGAACATCTATCCTCAGCTGGCCCACAAAGACAACTCTTCTCTCATTTAAAACCCTCTTGAAGACCCACTTCTGCTACAACTAGCTGCAGTGAGTTAATGACATTTATTTTAATATATAAAATTACAAATTGCTCCATCTGGCTGCACTCATGCCTTTGCTGAAAATATCTTACTGCTCCTACCCCATCCTTCCTCCGTGTCGCCACTCCATTGTTTCCTTGCCCATTTCTGTTGCTACAGGTCTGGAACTAACTACACTGCAAGAATTTCAAGGCAGAGACCCGATCTGATCGATACTGCACGTGAGAGTGCTGTAAATAACAAGGGTTATATCAGGCTGTAGAAAGTCTGACATGCTGAAGGAAGCAATCCCACGTGGTTTAACGTTTCCTGCACTATTATTTTCCTGGTATTTCTCATCTGGGGCCTCTGAACATGCCCTGGGAAAACTATCACACGCAAATCTAACCGCTTTTGAGGGAACCAGATTTTTTCTCTCCTGAGCTGACTGGAAGCCAGCTCGCAGCCTACCTCACAGGGGACAAGCAGAGACTCCCCCCACGTTGGGGAGAGGCTTGGGGCGAGGGACGCCGCTGGGGGGAGGTGTGCAGGAAAGAGACGACCCGCCCGCATAAAGGGACGGGGGGCAGGACACGCCCTCCTCAGTGAGAAATGGGTTTAGGGCAGGGGGGGTTAGGGCAGGGGGCGCCCTTTTCCAGCTCGACATCCTCACCCCCACCGACCCCTCAACTACCCCCCCACACCGTAGTCGCCCTTGTCCAGCCCGACACCCCCATCCCCACTGGCCCCTCAGACATTCCCCACCCACCGTAGCGTAGCCACTGCGGGCCCCGCAGCAGCCCGAGACTCTCCCCCCGCCGCAATCACAGCGGCTGTCGGGCCCCCGACGCTACCTGCTGACCGCTCGGCCCGCAGCGCTGCACAGGGAGAACATGGGGGCGGCGGGGCTGCAGCTGCTAGGGGCGCCCGAGCCCAGGCGCACGCTCCGCTGCCATGTGCCCGCGGACAAGTGGCGGCTCCGCTGAGCTGCGCATCCACTTCCGCCGGCCGCGCCTCCCCCCGCCCTGCGCGGCAACCACGGAGCTCCTCTGCCAGCGCCGTGGGGAGGGAGCATCCGGACAGGGGAACCCTGCAGCAGCCAGTCCTGCTCCGGCCGGGCTTCTCGCCCCTTGCACGGTAAGGGTTCCGCCGCCGCCCTCCATCCTCAGTGCGGTGGCTCTGGGCGCTCCCGTGTCGCAGCGGGGATAATGCCGCCGCCTGGGGGAATCGGGCTCTTCACGGTGTCTCTGTGAGAGGGGAGGGTGCAGCAGGGCATCTCTTGTGCCTCCTTCCCCGTTCGAGGCAGTGCCAGGGGAGGGTCTCCCGGGGGGCAGCCGCCACCGCCCGCTCCGGACCCGGGCACCACACCCTGAGCTGGGGCAGAGCAGATGGGTGAGAAAAGCCATTTCAGCCAAATTGACTAGCTCCGCGATTGAGCGGGTTGCCAAGGAGCTCCTGGGGCTGAACATGGGCAGGCTTGGCTGGTGCCTGACACCGCTGAGCTTGTTGCGATGCCTTGGTCTGGGGGAGCCTGTCAAATCTAGTATACAGCATGTCAGTGCACGTAGTGAACCATAGAAAAGGCAAAAGCTAACGGACAATGACCTTTAGAATGTGTGTATTATATATGTCTTCAATTATTTAGATGCCTATGAGTGTATAGAGGGTATATTATTGTGATCTTTGCTGTACCTTATACAGTGAAACCTGCTCTACTGCATACCTCTTCTTTCAAAGGATCACTTGAAAGTAGGGTCAAAATATCCGGTATATTTTGTAAGATTATTACTTACACATCACCTCTAATAGGCAACCCACTTCTGCCAGCCTCCTGAATGGCTGCTTAAGATGGTTGAACCACATCTATAGTATAACCAGTATTCTATAAACAAAGATGCTTTTTACAGGTGTAGTAGCCTTTCGACTATATGTTAAATCTAAGATCTTTTTCTAGAGCATAGTTAAACACGGCTCTTTTTCAAAAATAAATTCTGGTTTACTGGTTTAGGAAAAAAACTCAGAAAAAGTTGGAACTAATTTTCCTCCCAAAGAGAAGTTATGTAACTCCTAATAGATGCTGAATGCAAATCAGGCTGAGTCAGCAGCATGTCACTAATCACAAGTTTGCACTGAGGTCACAGTGTTTTAGTTTTCAGTCTAAAGAGAAAATGGAAGTGTTTAATTATGCCAGTGGTGAGACATCTATCCATGTACTTTTAAATTGCTTTTGATTTGAGTGAGTATTCCTGCTTCCAGTTGTATGTGCTTTAGAAATTAAATCAAAACTATATCTTTGAGCAAAATTAATTTACTAAATTATCCATAACGAACTTTTATGAACTCCTTCAGGAATTAATTCAAGGAAGTCCTATGACCTGTTTTATGCAGGTGGTCCTACTGGATGACCACAATGGTCCTTTCTGGTCTTATGATTTATGAATCTTATTGAAATAAATAAATGTCCAGTGATACTCTTCTTGAGATGCTTTTTGATGAAGATCTATTGCTGCATATCTTATACATCCAAAATTCCTAGTGAAGTTAATGGGACTTTGGGGTGGGCAGAGTATTCAGGGATTGGCCTTGAAGTACCATTCTTATGGTCTTGATATTTCTCTGAATATTTTCATAATTTAGGTGAAGTTCATAAGCTTCTAAAATGTCATCAGTCAAACACCTAGTATATGCCGTCATCCATTTCTTGAGAGAACAGAGTCAGCTGGATACTTTCACTTCAGATGAACAAGAAAGCTTAGAAGGTAAATACTGAAGGCCGCATATCTGTATGCTAGGTTGGTTGACATATACATCATGACAAAAAAGCAATGTGAATGAACTATATTAATTATCTATGTTGTCTTATTGTGTTTTGTTTCTTGTATGTCAGGAAGATATTATTATTATTTGAACAATTTATATCCTTATCCTGTAGATTCCAATACTCTCTCTGTCAGTTTATCTATTACCAAAGAAAGTTGCCAATTTTGGACTAGGAATGGGAGAAGTTTGGAGTTTCACAAAACCTGAAGAACTTTGTGAAATGTTTTAGAATTTTTGTTATTAAAGGAAAAACAACTTCATTCCTGAAATAGATTGAAATTTTACATGTCCGCAAGATTCTTATTTCTATTGTGTTATCTAGACTGTTGTTTTTAAAACATATTTTAAAGATGCAGTTTAACAACAAAAGCTGAAATAGTCAGTGCATTTGATATGTGATGAACAACTATATTAATTTAAAATATCCCAATATCTGTTGAGAAACTTATTTCCAATTGAAAAAAAGGCCACACTTTTAGAAATAAAATTATGAAGTAGGATTTTTTTATTCATATTGTTTTTTAATAAAATACTGATAAATGTTGATGGTTTATAACTAAGAAGGGTTAACTGATCACTTATTTGACATAGATGTTGGCTAGAGTTGCCCTGAGGCAAACGAACTACAATTTTCATAGAGATTTATTTTCTAAACAAAAGTGGATTATAATACTTTTAGTGGTATGTAAATGCACAAAGATAAAATTGAACACTCCCACAATTGAGCATATTTTAACAGAGAACTGAAGTCCTAATTTTAGAGTTTTATGTTGCCAAAAATATGGTACCATATGTTGCATTATACAATATACAGCATCTTTGCCAACCAATTTGCATAGCTGATCCTTTTTTAGCTATAGAAGTTAACTTTATTTTATGTGAAATAAATGTCAAGACAAATCTTGCCCATGAATGTGTGAACATAGCTCCCAACAAGACTGTGAGGGAAGAATTTGGTCCATGCAGTACATGGGTACTCTATGTACCTTACAATGTGCTGTGCGGTTGTAAAGCATTGTATAATTGTTAACTATCAAATATCAAACAAACTATACAAAAAAACAACAACCAACCAGTTGAAGACTTTATCAAAATAAAAGTACAGCATACTTTTCAAAGCCATCTTCTGTTGATAAAATGTACTCTGATTGGCTGAAGCATATAAGTATATCAGACTATAGGTGAAGTTCACCGCAGTGTAGAAGGACTGCTCATTTGCATGTTTCATTTGTGGAATTCACTCACCTGCATAAACAGAAATCAGAGGGTGAACTGGGGAGATGACACGCACCCTGCCATTTGCAGGGTCTGGATCTGCTATGCAGCCAGGACAAAGTCTGTGGTTGATAACTCCTCTGGTACAATGGAACTCTCAACAGCAAGAGTAAAGCTAATCTGTGTGTGAGACAGAACTTTCATGTGTGGGTGAGGAATGGCCCGAGACTGGAATGAACTCTCCCAAAAACTAACAACAACACAAACCTCAATACTTTCTGCTCTGAGTGCAAGGTGCATTTCTTTGATCTTACTTCCTCTAATGCAAACACATATATCTTTTGCTATGTATTTAAAACAAATAAAACCTTACCAAAAACAGGATTCTCCACTACACATGCTTCTCCCTCTGGGGAGAGAATGAGAGAAAAACAGTCACATAATGCATGACTGGAAGGTGCTCAGAAACTATGGTGATGAGCACAGTACAAAAGCCTGAATAGAATAGATAGTTCTCTTGCACCTGATTCTCCAGCGTATGGATTAGTAGCTTCAGTCCTTCCACCTCATTTATGCAGTGTGTTTAAATGACTGCTTTTGCTCTTCCGTTGGCCATTCCAGCATCTACACTTCATTGCTGTCTTCAGCACCAGCCTATGTGGGATCAGTGTGTAGTTCAAACTGGAATTATTTTGGGGAAGTTTTATTACCAATTATTACATAAGGTCAGACTAGATTATCACAGTGGTCCCTTCTGTCCTTGGAATCTGTGACCCCTCGTACACTGCACCGACAGGTAGTGTAAGAAGGGATTGATCCTAGTAAGTGCCACCACCGCAAAGCCTGTGGTTTAGGTAAAGCGGAGGTCCTTGCACTGGTCCTGTGAATCAAGGTGAATTTCACTGAGGGCTTAAGTGGTGTGGAGGACCTTGCTTAGCCCTCTGCTCTGGGGTGAATTAATCTGCCAGTGACAGTCAGATAGCAGGAGTGTGGTAGTGGGATAGAGAGCAAGTGGCATTTATTCCATACAGATATCCTTCAGACAAATTATTGCAACTACTGTATATAATTGGAGTGAAATCCTGGCTCCATTTTGATGTCAGTGGGGTTAAGGTTTCACCTCAGTTGCTTAGTATATTAAAAAATTACACATTGTCAAAGGATCAATCTCTCCCATTTTGAAAATAAATATTTGTGCTTTGGCTCCACATTTATTTTTAATAAAGTCTTTTGGCTTGCCATTTACATAGCAGCAGGAGACTATCATCCTGTGGGAAGAAAAAGTCTATTTCATTGATTTATCCCATAAGGGTACTAACATTTGTTAAAATCATGGCAGAGGAATTATAAAGACTCAGATTGTGTTAATTTTCCAGTTAAATGGGAATTGTGTGAGCTCACTGTAATATATGAGCCAGTTATTTCTACCATGGAAATTTATTCTAATATTAATAGTAGTAATACATCCAGAATATTTTATATAAGCATAATTTGATCTGTTAGAGTTGAGAGTTCTCTTCCCCACTTCCCTGAACAGAAACAAACAAGATGAGGGGCTAGGAGTCATCACATAGACTTAATGCATTTCCCCCCAAAAGTGAGAAGAGTGAAAATTAAAATATTTTTAAGTGTTTTAAACTATAGTTTCTGTTCTTAGGCTGAGTTAAAAATGAGGCGAGGCATTTAGAAAAGGGGTTACCTGAGGGTAAAAATAAGTGTGATGGAATATGTGTCCTTTCCCCGCATCCGTGGCCACCCCAGGAACTGCTCAGACTCTCATACTGAGTGGACACTAAAGGAAAACTTAGTCAAGCCTCCTCTACCGACATCTGTACAGTGCAAAACAAGAGTCCTAATTCCTGTGACCATCAGCCCCTATTCATCAGGGCTCTGAGAGGAAGAGAGGTCTTGCTTCCTTGGGATCACCTTCAATCTGGGCACAGCTACTCCTGTCCTCCCCACAACACTTCCTAGCTTTTATCATGCTAGTCAGCTGATGCACTAGTTAATTCCTTAACTCACCCAGCCTCCCCCTCTGATTCCTCCCAATTTCCTCAATCAGCCATTGCTGGGGAAACTAATTGAGGCTACAGTGATCAGAGTGCTGATTTGTCTGTCATGACTCAGCACTCTGACTCCAAGGGAAAGCCTAAATTTAGCATTTATATATGACTGTTAATACTTCATAGTAAATTGTCAAGAGAAACTGGATACCCTATTCCATTGATTCTCTGACAGGCATTGTAAAAGTACTATTAATATCATTCACTTATTGTTAATGGAATTGTGCATGTAGTTTTCCACAGAATATGTACTCCATGGAAATGCAGTGGGATATTTTACTTGTCTTTCACCTCAGAAGATAAGATTTGAATTTAGGTCACTAATAAAATGGTTTGAAAGTCACCAACTCACCACTAGATCTTCATTAACAGGCTAAAATCAATATTCAGTTTACCACAATTAAGTTTCTTGTCATGGAGGTCTAGTGCAAGGAAGAGAGGGAATTTAACTCAGACCCTGAATTGTTTTTTACTGAATGGTACAGAACCTGGTTAACATTACAGAACTCAGAAGCAAACTTTCTGTGCAGTGTTAATAATTAGCCATGTACCCAATCAATATTAAAGAGTCATTGTCAGCATAAAATATGTAAGAATTTTACTTACTTTTGTTACTTATAACTTACTGTATGTTATCAAGACTGAAATAATTAAATAAATCTATTTTACATTTTACCATTTATGCTGGGTATTTACTTTTTGCATTTCTCTCAGTTGGAACAATAAAAAATAGACTCCTTAACATCAGTTATTGTTAATTTTTAGTAGATTTTCCTTTCTGATTCCCCTGCACTAGCTCAATATTATCATTGTTCAGATTCACAATGCCACATCTGAATGTTAAAATTAGAATGGACCCTCAACACCCATGATCTTGATGCACCCTGAACTTTTGGGAAGTTCAGACCCTGATTTGAATTTAGTTTCTTGAGGTTTCTCTGGTTTACATTAAAAAAAAAAACAAACCCCCTGTTTTTTTTAAATTAAAAAGAAAATGTAGGAATAAGTTTCTATTCACATCGCGTTTTTTTAAAAACATTTCATACCCTTTTTCAGTTTTGAGTCTAAAACTAGCAGTACCTTAATGGGAGTCATGCTGCTGGATTCCCACACAATGTGTTGAATACTTGCCCCATAACCTTAAGATACATGAATTAGACACCCTCTCTAAGCTATATATAAAGATTACAATCTATGACTGTGTCTACAAACACTTAAGCATGTCACTCATGTGCAGTCCTATAGACATCATTGGAACTGCTTTCATGAGTAAAGTTATGAATTTGCTTAAATGTTTGGAGGATTGGGGCCCTCTGATCCTGGGAAGGGATCTGCTCATGTGGATCCTTAGGCTCGGGCATCAGTGGGACTTTGTGTGAGTGCAAGGGATTTTACAGGTGGATTCCTTTGCAGGATGAGAGCCTATGATTAATAAAGCAGCTGTTAGTAAAAATCTTTTGTTTGCAAAGTAAAATGTACACATTTGAAAACAGTAATTATTACTTAGATATTTCAGTTTAGAATTGGCCCATCTTTTGTGTTACACATAATGTCATAAATGTGTTGCTTTCAGGCTTTATATGTAGTAGACAATTATAAAAATAGCAGTTTTTTATGTGTAGCTAGCATATATATCTACATTACATAATATGTGCTGTTTTATCTTTTGTTTTTAAATTTAGTCATTGTAGGTCAAAAATGAAATAAAAAAATGAGTATTAAAAAAAGTGTGTCTGGATCAGGAATTAAGTTTGGTGGCTAAGCTCTCTCTATATAAACACTAAAGAGCTTCTGTCTCTATTGCCGTGCAAAGTTGACTAGTAGAGACTAAATAGGTTATTTTTTTCTTTCCATTAGGGGAACTTCTCCAAAGAACTGCCTTTTGTTTTTAGGCTTAATTAGCCAACAAATATGTCAGGAAGTGTACCTTTGCCTTATTTATTTTTAGTTTTATTAGTTAGTTTTATTTACACATTTCTATTGAGAAAATAGTGATTTTTTTTTAATCATGTTTTCATTTCTTTGAAGTTGCAATTCAGTGTTTGGAGACTGTTTTTAAGATTAGCCTAGAAGATACGCATCTTGCAGTGCCACAGCAGTTGACAGAAATGTTCTCAAATTCTTTTCACAAGGTAAGAATTGATTTTAGTCTTTTAGAATTACTTTATCATTAGCCAATTAAGATTGTGACTATGGTGTGGAATCTTAAAATGTTATATACGTCAAAACAATGTGGAAACTTGATAAAAATGATATTCAAGTGAAATTCCTGTAATAGATAGGAGAACAGGATAGTTTTTGGACTCTGACAGGACATAAATTCAGTCAAGGCAAAGATAACCCATGTAAAATATGTTACTAAAAAGAATGGGCTTCTTTCTATCATGAAGGATACTTGCCCTCAGTGACACTTAGGCATTTTGCAATTCCAAAGACAGTTGACTAGAAACTGATTGAGGTCGTCCACAGCTTCCTGGTCCCTCTGCCCCCAGCTCCAGTGCGTATCCCCTCCCATGGAGAAAATGTAGTCTCTTAAAGCATTCCACACCACCAGTTTAGGTAAAACTAAAAGCTATACTTTTAAAATTCAAAGGGGTCCAACATAGGAAGAATACTGTTGGCGCCAGGAAAGCAGAGAGAAAACTTGGGAGGAAGAAAATGGGGATATCAGAGGTCATACTAAATCCCCCCTCTCCCCCACTTTACTGGGGCAGGGGGATATTGCTGTAAGATTTTAAGTGGGAACAGACAACTATCTTGGTCTAGTGTGTATTACAGAAATGGTATGATCCCTTGCTGACTTAAGGCCTAATGATGCAATCACTAAAAGGTATCTGTGTTTACACAACCCCTTTCAGGATGAAGGTTGAGGAAGAAGCCATTAATGTAGCCAGGGCCTACACCTGAATCAGAATATACTTCTAGTTATTTGTTTTTGATTTTTTTTTTTTTAATGTAGAATGACATGTTGCCTCTCTCCGATTCATTGCCAGAAGATATTGAAAAGGCTGACCAGCTGAAGGATGAAGGTATGTAATTGATAAGGATGTGTCACGCTGTCTAGAGTCAGGAGCGCCGCCAGTTTTTTTGCCGCTCTAGGCGGCAGAAGGTCCCTCCCCTGAAATGCCGCCTCCAACAGAGGCGGCGGAAGGTCCTGCCCCCGAAATGCCGCCCCCGAAATACCGCCGACGACCAGGGCGGCCGAAGATCTGGCCGCCGCGCCCCAAATGTTAGTGCCCTAGGCGACCGCCTAGGTCACCTAATGGGTTGCGCCGGTCCTGTCTGGAGTAGCTCACGATCGTGAGTGCCAACCTCAGGGGAGACTGTCAAAAAGCAAGGCAGAAACCCCAAACTGGTTGAGCAAACTCCTTTTATTGCTCCAGTACTTGGAGCTGTAATGTGTGAGCTCTGTATTGAGCTTCCAGTTGTTCCATGCATCTGTGGTGGGCTGTCTCCTCAGCCTCTTCGGTTTCTTTGATCTCCTTGATCTGGGGGTCCACCATCAGTCTCTGGGGCTTACGTTCTCCCTGGGCTGCCCGCTACAAGCAGTCGAGTCAGTTCCACTGCAGCAATCTCCATGGCATCTGGGGCAGGCGGGTGCTTAGCTCCTGATCTGGGGTTTTCTGTTTATTGGATATTCCCCTCTCCTTACATAACATTTCAAGGTCTTTTGTCTCAAGACCATAATATGACTGTGGTCTACTCATTGTGTCTATTCTTTAACCTTTCACTCTCAATATCAAGTTTTAACTTTTAATAGCTCTGGATTATGATCTATAAATCCAATTGACCTGTAACATGTGAATCCTGCCACCTATACCAAAAGTTATACTGTCTGGAGTGGCTCCTGACCATGAGTGCCAACCTCAGGACAGACTGTCAAAAGCCAGGGCAGAAGCCCCAAACTGGTTGTGAAGTGTATAATTAGATTTCACCAACCCAGTAACAAGTTTGAACTCCTAAAGCACTGTAACAGTTTTACCATGGAATCAGAGACTGTCCCATGGGGCATTCGAGTCTATTTTGCCACCCAGGCAAGTTGACTATGTGATAGATGGTCACTTTACACCAAAAAGCACAATATTCAGGTTACTCTCAATCCTAAAGGACCAGTCACTTATCCCAGGTAATTTGTACTCAGATCTCAACCAAAGACAACTCCTGTAGCCAATCCTGTAATAAATTAACTAAAGATGTATTAACTAAGAAATAAGAGCATTATTTAGAAGGCTAAAACAGGAAACATACACTCACAAATGAGTTACTGTCTTAGATTTTAAAAAGGTAGTATAAGTTTCTGTAATAAGCAACTTTACATGACCTTTAGGGCCTACCCATGCCAAGTAGCATGGAGATCTCTTGCTTATGCTTAGAAATCTTTGCCCCTCAGAGATCAAACAGCATAAAGAGACAAGTTTTTCCTTGTCAGGAATTTTTTCTCCCCTTCACCCCAGATTCCAACCTGATGGGGTGAGTTAATGTATAGGTTTCCCCTTCCTGGAGGGAATTAGAAATGCAGTCAACAAGGTATCTCTCCCTTGGTCCTACACAATGCCTCATTTGTCTACAGTGGGCCATCTTATGTGAAGAATGAGCATTTTACCTTAATTAATGCTTCTTTTCCTCTTTGGTAGGTTACACAATTAGAGGTTTACGATGCTAACACTCAATATAACTTTATACCATGGGATACAGATATTATAAGTAGGATTAATACATGCAGTATTCCATTAAGTCTAAACACTAAGCACATTCTTATAACACTAATACCTATTTTAACTATACTAATCCAGAGGTAAGACAGACTGCTTTCCAGCTATGCATTTGTCAGTGTTCAGTGAGGCTCTGGGATGCAGTGCCTCTGAAAAAGATTTGGGGGTTGTGGTGGATAATCAGCTGAACATGAGTGCCCAGTGTGAGACTGTGGCCAAAAGAGCGAATGCGATCCTGGGATGCATAAATGGGAATCTCAGGAGTAGAGAGGTTATTTTACCTCTGTATTTGGCACTGGTGTGACTGTTGCTGGAATACTGTGCCCAGTTCTGGTGCCTACAATTCAAGAAGAATGTTGTTAAATTGGAGGAGGTTCAGAGAAGCACCACGAGAATGACTCAAGGATTAGAAAACATGCCTTACAACGATTGAGCCCTTTAAGTCTATCTAGTTAGCTTAACAGAAGGTTAAGGGGTGACTTGGTTACAGTTTATAAGTATTAGGGATGTAAATATCATTTAAAAAGTTAACCATTTAAATGATTAAAATATTTCATTTAAACGGTTAATTGATTAAAGGGAGGGGGGCTGGGGTCGGGTTCAGCTGGCTGGGGCTGCTCTGGCCAGCCGATGTGGCTGGGGTTGGGTTTGGCTGGCTGGGGCCGATCCGGCCGGCCAGTGCGGGGCTGCTGGGGTTGGCGGGTGGGCCGGCCCGGGGGTTAATGGTTAAGGCGGGTTAACCAGTAAGACTAATGCTTACTGGTTAACATTTTACATCCCTAATAAGTATCTACATGGGGAACAAATATTTAATAATGGGCTCTTCAATCTAGCAGAGAAGGTTTAACACGATCCAGTAGCTGGAAGTTGAAGCTTGACAAATTCATACTGGAAACAAGGTGTGAATTTAACAGTGAGAGTAATTAACCACTGGACCCATTTACCAACGGTCATGGTAGATTCTCTCTCACAGACAATTTGTAAATCAAGATTGGATGTTTTGCTAAAAAACTGTGCTCTAGGGATTATTTTGGGGAAGTGCCATGATCTGTGTTATGTAGGAGGGCAGATAAGATCATCACAATGGTCCCTTCTGTTTTGTAATCTATGAAACACAGAAACATACTTAGCTGTTTTCAGTCATTGTCTGAGATGAGAACTGCCCCTCTGCAGGGTCTATCTCGGTCACAGCTGCAGCCACACTGGATGGACCTGCCCAGTCTATGCATCTATAGCAACCTGTTGACTCACCCCCAATACTAAAGAGAGAATTTACCAACTAGCTGAAAAGTTGGTGACATGTCACCTAGGCCTGTCATTTATTTCAAACTACATTATTGTTGAAATTAATTTGTGATCCATTAGCTACGTTACTAGACTCTACTCCCTGTTACACTTACACCTGGCTCTGTGAAGATTATGCATTCCTTCCAAATGGAAGTGACTTTGCTAATATGTGAAATATTTATGATTCAACTTCTCATACTATATTGCCACGAGTAACCTCATTGTGTATCAGTTATAACAGAGTTGAAAAATCTGTATGGTTCTGTTAATTTGGAATGTTGGTTCCTTCACTGCCAATGGCTGAGACCGAAGGATCTTCCGCATTTAGCCATGTGTCCTGCATGGAGAGGACTCAGCGCCTTCTGGAGCATGTCAGCTCCCTGTACTCTTCTTCCTTCATACTTTCTTTGTTGTGTTCCTTCTCTTACCTTGGCCCATTTGCCAGGACTTGAAGTTTTGTTAGTCTCTTCCTGTTAAATCTGAGCTTTTTCCCTGCCTGAGTGGGATTATGACCTATGCCTGTACTGCTGCCAGACATGGTACAAGGGATGGGAAGAAAAGTAAGGCAGGGTCCTTTTTCCTTTTACTGTGCTAGTGCTGCTTGGTGGTTTTCCTTTCCTGGCTGCATAACATTTTTAGTCTCCTAAGTGTTGACTAGTGATGCATCTGCTGAGGTGTTGGTGAGTACTTCTGCATCTGAGTCATCTTATGGCACTTGTGGTATATATGTCCTCAGTGTCTTCATGAAAGAGCTACTGGTAGCTGCATGGGACTGTTCATTTACCTGTCCATCTTTGTTGTCCTTGTTTTTAGAGTCCTCATGTTATGGTTGTAGTTTCAGGCAAGTTTTGGGTGAATTAAATCAAAAAGGGTCTCCACATCTAGTTCATTAAGTTGTGAGACCTGCTAGGATATCCATCCTGACCAATCCAAACTGCAGCTAAGCTGTTGTGGTTGACCAGCCCATTGAGCCAGTTCCCAACAAACTGGTTCCTTGCTCAACAGCAGGGAACTGCCTGGTAAGTATGTAGAGTATTGAGAGGGCTGTAAACATTAAGTGTTGTGCTGCTTTGTAGATAACAAGTCTGCATGAAAAAAAGTGTACTGTATATTCAGCAGACTAATACAAAATCTTTTTTCTGAAAAGTAAATCACAAAAGGCAACACAGTCCCAACTGCTTTGTGAGGTACTGTAGTGTAGTGATTCTGCTCTGTGTTTATCTTTCAGATCTAGAATTACACCTTTAATTATCTTAAAACATAATTTTTACAATTTATTTCAGGTAATAATCACATGAAAGAAGAAAATTATGTTGCTGCAGTGGATTGTTATACTCATGCTATAGAGCTGGATCCAAACAATGCAGTATATTATTGTAACAGGTAAAAAAATAACAAAATATCCCTTAAACTTCATAGAGATAATTTTAAAAAGAAAAACCGAACTCGATCAAAACAAGGTAAAGTGAAAAGCCCTCCTTTTCAGTGAGTAACAACATTTCATTTATACCAGTTTGGTTATGCACATTTTAAAATGTATCATTTTAACTATACTCAAATGTTTGTCTTCATTATATTTGTCGTGTAGATTTTAACTTTGTTTCAAGACTTTATTTGGTGACTGATGTTGGCAACTTGAAGCAACTTCTACACAAGAAATTAGTAAAGGCCTGTTTCAAAGCCCATTTGAGCTAGGGGGATCCACTCTATGGAATTCTAATGGATCAGGCCTAATATGCATTAATTTTCCAGAGCAAAAATATTTGTAAAGTGCTTTGAAGATGTAAAACATTATATAGGAGCTAAATATCTTTATGCCAGGATTATTGCAAAAGTAACAGTTCTACAGTTCTAATACAGATTTTACTTTTAGTTACTAAACAAGTTAATTATATAGTAGATAGAGACAAGAACAAGGATACAGAGGAACCACAAACATTTACTAAGATGGCATTACATATTTAAGGCAGTAGTTCAGAGTTTGAACCATATCTTTTCTCTGATAAGACAGCAGTGCCATAAATTCTCTCTAGATGTAAACTGGTCATGTAGGACCTGATCCAGAGCCCATTGAAGCCAATTGAAAGACTCCCATTAACTCCAGTAGGCTTTGAATGATCCCAAAATGTGTGTAATTAGCAACACAAAGTAACTACTACTACTTTGATATTCAGTGAGTATGGAAAATATGTACAACTTGCAATGAGTTGGTACTGTAAGGTATAAGTGGGTACACTGCCAGTGGAAGTCATTTAAAACTAGGAATGAGTTTTGCTCCAGGAGTTTTGAGGATGGTGCAGACATAAGTTGAAGCAGAGGAGGGAGGGGTTGCTTTATCTTAAGAAAGAGGGAGAGCCTAATCAGGCTGATTCCTTATTTGGTCCGTTGAGTCTGTCTCTAAACATGAAAAAAAAAATTGAAGTGCATGCGGGGCTAAATACTGCCTTTGATTACACTCATGCAACTGTATTGACCTCAGTGGGGTTGAACAGTTGTAAAGCGGTTCATATAATTAAAGACAATGAACACAACCCAGTAGGAAGGGAAGTAATTTGTTCCATCAAACCTAGACAGATTCAGAGGGCATAGTAGGAAAAAGGTTTAAATAAAAAAAAAATCATTTTACACAGAATTTTTCATGGAAAACTAGCACAAAATGCTTTGCAGAATTAAATATTCCTCCTTCTGTAAACTAGCATTTTAACTATGGAAAGACAAGCTGGAATGTTTTTTCTGAATACTCTTAAACCATGGGAAAGATTGAATTTGAATACTGATCTGAACTCTTTGGCTTGGCCACTCTATTGTCTTAACTCATAAATCATATGTAAAAATAATTAGTGTTTCCCTGGTAAAGGTGCAGTAATAATTCAGTGATTCAGAAATTATTAGGCCTCTTTATCCAGACTTACCTACTAGCATGAGTGACATTGCACGCACACACACACACACACCCCTACCTGTATTTCTGCAGAGACTTTGAAAAAAATCAGTATAGATCAAATACATGGTCAGTCAGTGTAGAGCTTCTAGCTCCTCTAGCAATTCTCCTGGAGCCAGGCACCTGAGGGATAATTGAACTCAACAGAAGGATTGTCATTGTGATATGAGACTGATAGGTAGAGGTGTAAAGAGAGAGAGAGAGATCAATGAGATCCTTTGAACAGTGAGGAGTGAAAACAAAAAGTATTATTGCTGCAAAAGGATGATTGTACATAATACTTGTTTTCCTAGACAGTCATCATATATCACCAGATCTACCATTTGACAGTTTGTCTTGTTATAATTGATTTAATGATGTATTTTGTGTGTATCCGTATTCTGGTTCTCATACGCTTTTCCACACTATTATGTTTTTTGTAAGATATGACTCTATATAATTGAAGGCTCTAAGTCAGTAAGGCACTTACACATGTTTAACTTTAAGCACTTGAACAGTCCTGCTGAAGTCAAGCTAGGTGAGCAAATTTTCTATAATGTAACTGAGTAGTCAGTAGGATTAAACACATTCTTAATGTTAAGTGTGGTCTTTGGGGCCTAAATCTGGATGCTCAGACTTTTCTTAAATATGTTCTTTTCCCCCTACTTTAGGGCTGCTGCTCAAAGCAAGCTCAGCAACTACAATGAAGCAATAAAAGACTGTGAGAGAGCGATAGCAATAGATCCAAAATACAGCAAAGCATATGGGAGAATGGGGTAAGATAATCCAGATTTATATAAGCATTAAGGGCCAGATCTTTGGAAGTTGTAAATCAGTGTAGCTCTATTTAAATCAATGGCATAATTCCATTTTGTGTTGACTGAAGATCTGGTGCTAAAAGTGCAGTTGTTTTCTATGACTAAAGCTGGCATGAGGTTCCATGTACATGTTCTCTCCTACTGACTTCCTGTCAGATTTGCTCTGTTTACACTACAGATTTTTTTCTTCAGTTTATCAGCACTGCAAACTCAATCGAGGGAGTCAAACTGTGTTCTTTCTCGCTCCTACATAATCACCAGTAATTATTCTGTAACTGGAACAACAACTGTTCTGTTAATGATAATGAATAGAGAATAGAATCTAGGTCCCACTCTCAAAAGTGTTGGGTTTGCAGAGCTAACAAGAGTACAAACTTATTTTTCTCGCTTAAATACACCTAGGAAGCGGATCTGTTGAGGTGGAAAGTGCTGTTTATTTAGTCATTCTTCTGACCCTAACATCGCACTCTTAAGTACATACTATTACGAATTCACATCTGCACACTTAGGGAAATTCATCCTTATGACTTTTTTCAATAGTCCCTGTTCAGAGGCGCTTTTGTGCTGGGGATATTTCCCAGAGTGCCCATGCAGTTGCTTTGTGACGTCTTTGTCCTGTCATAACTGGGCAGGGCAATCAATCATTGCATGCTTAGAGTGTGGGAGTTAGAAACTAGGACCCTTGACACCAGAAATACAGGCCTTTACCACGTGAGTTACAAGCCTCTCTGGCTGATGTTGTAATAATAACTTGTAGGCAAGACTGTGATTACATTGACCCATAAATGCCAAAGCAGGTCAGACATTCCATGCATCTATATGTATATAAAGAATCAGACCCCCTAACCAATAAGAGTGAAGTTCATCTGGTAAACCTCTTTAAAGAAATTTTAATAATAAAACAAATATCTAGTACCAAATTCTTCCCTCAGAGGCACATACATGGCTCTCATTGAAGTCAGTAAGCTCTGTATATGTGCATGTAAGGTCTGACTTTGGTCCTTAGCTTTTTAAATTTCAAAACATGAATTTTAATTCTGAATATTGAATGAAAATATGAATGCTGCTTCTGTGAATACTAATGGTTGAATCTAGTGAAAAATGTGAATATAGCACAGTGAGAGCTGTCTGGAAGGATCAAATGGGATTATGTATCTTTACTACCTGAAGTTTTATGAATGTCTCCATGTTTGAAAGGGCTCTTGGCCCTAATCTGAAGGGAGAACTATGGCCAGCATAGTACTGGCTTCTGTAAATGTGTCTGTGCCAAAGTCTGTGGTCTGAAGTGCAGTGGACAATGACTTGTTGAACTTTGGTGATAACGAGGATCCCCTATAATGTAAATTAACATAATTTAACAGTTTGGCATAGCTAGCGTGATATTTAGGGAATCTAAAAATAATATGATCAATAAATTACTTAAGAGATTCCTTTTGGCACTCTGGAGAATGGTCTCTCTAATGACCCTCAGATGTAGCCTACCGGGGTTTTCCATCATCATGACTAAGCAGGTAGAAAAATTAGATGACTTCAGTTTCTTATACTGCTAAGATTATAATATTAACAGAACACTGAGAAAAATATTAAGATATCAGAATAATCACTGTCAATGTTTTTTCTCTGTAGCTACCTATTCAGATGTAGGTCTGATTGAGTATTCAATATCTTAGATACAATGGAGCTGCCATAAGTAGCAGCTATGAACAAAGTGGAAAACCCTTATATATTAGAAGTGTCATAGTACATAACCATGAAACCCAACTAGAAGAGGGACAAATTGTATTAAACCCAGGGTGGGCAAACTACGGCCCGCAGGACCGTCCTGCCTGGCCTCCGAGCTCCTGGCCCGGGAGGCTCGCCCCTGGCCCCTCCCCTGCTGTCCCCCTTCCCCCGCAGCCTCAGCTGGCCCTGTCGCCGGCGCAATGCTCTGGGCAGCGGGGCTGTGAGCTCCTGGGGCAGCGCAGCTGCAGAGCCTGGCCTGACCTGGTGCTCTGAGCTATGTGGTGGCGGCGGCGTGGCCCGGCTCCAGCCAGGCGGCGCGGCTGTAGCGCCGCCAGCCACCGGTGCTCCAGGCAGCGTGGTAAGGGGGCACGGAGCGGGGAGGGGGGGTTGGGTAGAGGGCAGGGGAGTTCGGGGTGATGGTCAGGGGCGGGGGTGTGGATAGGGGGCAGGGTGGTCGGGGGGGAATAGGGGGTTAAATGGGGGCAGTCAGGAAGGAGTTGGATGGGGCGGCCGGGGGTAATCAGGGGACAGGGAGAAGGGGTGGTTGGATGGGGCAAGGGTCCGGGGGAGGGGGGGCGCGTCAGGATGGGGGGGGGGGGGTGAATGGGGTGGCAGAGGTCCGGGGGCAGTCAGGGGACAGGGAGCGGGGGAGTGTGGATGGAGCAGGGGTCCTGGGGGGGGGGGGGAGGGGGGCCGGGGGGGAGGGGGGGGGGGGGGAGGGGTCCGGAGCCCGGGGGGGGGGGGGCGGGGAGGTGGGGGCCAGGCCATGACCCTCTCCCCTAAGCGGCTCCCCATACAATTTCCGAAACTCGATGTGGCCCTCAGGCCAAAAAGTTTGCCCGCCCCTGTATTAAACCATATAGGTGACCATATAGGACAACAAATATAAAACAGTTACTTGTAGTAATTGTGCTTTGTCAAGATGATTGTCTATGTGGATAATGCTCTAGCATGCCACTAGTGCATGAGCTTAGAAGATTTGCCTAAGAAGTGTACATTGGGGCAGCTTGCTGCTCCTCTCCTTCCCATTCTGGGTTCCAAAGAGATTGCGTTGCCACAAACGTCTTTTAGTTCATATCACTAATTCAGGAATCCCTCTACAAGAGACTGCAAAGAAGTGGAGAAAATGAGCAGGGAGCATAGATCCATATGGGTAGTCATCATCTCAGGGAGCTGTAATTACTATGGTAAGTAAATGGGGGTTTTTTCTTGGAGAATTTCCCATATGAGTTCCAACTTCCCACTCTTGGAAGATTAACAGGTGGGCCTGGGGACTGTTCATTTAAAAATGATTGCAGGACTGTTATCCTGAATTGGGTATCAGTTTAGAGCCCTACTTGAGAGAGCAACTCTGCGTAGAGGTGGTTACAGAGCTCTAAGAAGCACCCTTGTGTATTTCACTAATTGATAACTTGTGAAGGCATGGCCTAGAATAGAGCCAGAAGCATTTAGCATTTTCGTTGGTGGCAAAAAGTTTTCATAAGGCTTGCCTGTATGTGGAACATATGCAAGACTGAGTTCTTGGGGGATCATCTGTGCTGCAGAAAGTGGTATGACAAAAGTAAATGCCAGCACTAGTCAATATGCATCAATACTTACATTCTGGTAGTAAACTTACATATATTTCGTAATGATCAGGATCGAAGTTAGTTGTGAGATTCTCTCACTTACTCCTGTGCTAATTAGATCCAAAACTGTTAGTATCATTACTACTTTGATGCGCTCATACTGGCTTTCTTAATTTCACTCTAGGTTGGCCCTGACCTCTATGAACAAATACCAAGAAGCAATTACCAGTTACCAAAAAGCACTGGTTCTTGATCCAGAAAATGACTCTTACAAGTCAAATATGAAAATAGCTGAACAGAAACTAAGAGACCTCTCCAGTCCTGTAAGTTACCTTAATTAGTTTTTCTTTTCAGTGAGGTTTTTTTAATAACTCAAATGGAATTTCCTAGACATAGTACTCTTCAGATATTATTTGTTTACAGACTGGAACAGGACTGAGTTTTGACATGGCAAGCTTGATAAACAACCCAGCGTTCATTAGTATGGTGAGTATATTAAGTATATCTTGTTGCTTTTAATTAAGAAACAGAATGTAAAATGTTTTAAACATTACTCCTGCTTCAACAAGAGAAGATGGTTTTAATGCTTATCATAACTAGTGTATACATCCAAAGCACAGGACTTGGTGGTGATGGGGGACTTCAACTACCCAGACATCTGTTGGGAAAGTAACACAGCAGTGCACAGATTGTTCAACAAGTTCTTGGAATGTATTTGAGACAATTTTTCATTTCAGAAGGTGAAGAAAGCCACTGGGGAGAGGCTGTTCTAGGTTTGATTTTGACAAATAGGGAGGAACGGAGGGAGAATTTGAAAGTGGAAGGCAGCTTGGGTGAAAGTGATCATGAAATGCGAGAGTTCATGAGTCTAAGGACTGGTAGGAGGGAAAACAGTACAAAAAGATAATAGATTTCAAGAGGGCAGACTTTAGCAAACTCAGGGAGTTGGTAGGTAAGATCCCATGGGAAACAAGTCGAAAGGGAAAAACAGTTCAAGAGAATTGGCAGTTTTTCAAAGAGACACTATTAAGGACATAAGAGCAAACTATCCCACAGCATAAGAAAGATAGGAAGTATAGCAAGAGACCACCTTGGCCCAACCAGGAGACTTTCAATAACCTGAAATTCAAAAGAGAGTCTTACAAAAAGTGGAACCTAGGTCCTACAAAAAGTGGAAAAAAAGGATGAATATAAACAAATAATACAAGTATGTAGGGAAAACATTGGAAAGGTCAAGGCATAAAACAAGATTAAACTAGCTAGAGAAATAAAAGGGTAACAAGAAAACAGTCTACAAATACATTCGAAGCAAGACGAAGACCAAGGACAGGGTAGGCCCATTACTCAATAGGGTAGGGGGAAACAATAACAGAAAATGTGGAAATGGGATAAGTGCCAAATAACTTTTTTGTTTCAGTTTTCACTAAGAAATTGAGTAGCAATTGGACAACTAACTGAATGAATGCCAGTGAAAATGAGATAGAATCAGAGGCTAAAATAGGGAAAGAACAAGTTAAAAATGACCTAAACAAGTTAGATGTCTTCAAGTCACCAATGCCTGATGAAATACATCCTAGAATACTGAAGGAGCTGACTGAGGGGATATCTGAGCCATTAGCGATTATCTTTCAAAAGTCATGGAAGATGGGTGAGATTCCAGAGGACTGGAAAAGGGCAGATATAGTGCCAGTCTATAAAAAGGGGAATAAGGACAACCTGTGGAATTATTCCAATCAGGTTAACTTCAGTACCCGGAAAGATAATGGAGCAAATAATTAAGCAGTCAATTTGCAAACACCTACAAGATAATAAGGTGAAAAGTAACAGTCAGCATGGATTTGTCAAGAACAATTGTGTCAAACCAACCTAATAGCTCTCTTTGACAGGGTAGCAAGCCTTACGGATGGGGGGGAAGTGGTAGATGTGATATATCTTGACATTAGTAAGGCTTTTGATACTGTCCTAGATGGAACTACTATAAGATGGGTGCATAACTGGTTGGAAAACCGTTCCCAGAGAATAGTTATCAGTGGTTCACGGTCAAGCTGGAAGGGCATATCAAGTGGGGTCCCGCAGGGATCAGTTCTGGGTCCGGTTCTGTTCAGTATCCTCATCAATGATTTAGATAATGGCATAGAGTAAACATATAAAGTTTGCAGACGAGACCAAGTTGGGAGGAGTTGCAAGTGCTTTGGAGGATAGGATTACAATTCAAAATGATCTGGAGAAATGGTCTGAAGTAAATAGGATGAAATTCAATAAGGACAAATACAAAGTAGTCCATTGAGGAAGGAACAATCAATAAGGACAAATACAAAGTAGTCCACTGAGGAAGGAACAATCAGTTGCACAAAATAGGAAATGCCTATCTAGGAAGGAGTACTGCAGAAAGAGATCTGGAGGTCATAGTGGATCACAAACTAATTATGAGTCAACAGTTTAACACTTGCAAAAAATAAAAAAGCAAACATCATGCTGGGATATATTAGCAGGAGTGCTGTAAGCAAGACATGAGAGGTAATTCTTTCGCTCTACTCTGCAGTGATTAGGCCTCAACTGGAGTATTATGTCCCATTCTGGGCGCCAGATTTCAGGAAAAATGTGGACAAATTGGAGACAGTCTAGAGAAGAGCAACAAAAATGATCAAAGGTCTAGAAAACATTACCTATGAGGGGAGATTGAAAAAATTGGGTTTGTTTAGTCTGGAGAAGAGAGGACTGAGGGGGGACATAACAGTTTTCAAGTACATAAAAAGTTGTTACAAGGAGGAGGGAGAAAAATTGTTCTTTTTAACCTCTGAGGATAGGACAAGAAGCAATGGGCTTAAATTGCAGCAAGGGCGATTTAGGTTGGACATTAGGAAAAACCTCCTGTCAGGGTGGTTAAGCACTGGAACAAATTGCCCAGGGAGGTTGTGGAATCTCCATCATTGGAGATTCTTAAGAGCAGGTTAGACAAATACCTTTCAGGGATGGTCTAGATCAGTGTTTCTCAAATGCGGCCACCCTGGCCGATTGTGGCACCAGGGGGCTTTTCTTGTGTCCGCAGCCTCCTGCGTGGTGATGGGGAGGGGGGGGGCGAGAAGCAAAGCAGCGACCCTACCCCTGAGGGACGCCAGCTAGGGTTGGGCCCTGCCCCCCTCTGGAGCCACAAACGGCAGAGGGGTAGGCAGCTGGTGTGAGTTCCCCACTTTCCCAGAGGCTGTGGGGCTCAGGCTTCTGGCTTCAGCTCTGGGGTTGCAGGTGGCAGGCTCTGGCTGTGGAGCTTCAGCCCTGGGCTCACCACCCCCTTCCCCACATCGTCCTTGGTCCCCACCACCTCCTCTGGCCGCAGAGCTTCAGGCTCTGGCCGCAGAGCTTCAGGCTCTGGCCGCAGAGCTTCCATCCCAGCCCCCAGTTGCGCAGTGGAGGGCACCGGCCTTGGGCTCACCATCCGCCCTCCATCATCCCTGGGCCCCGCTGCCTCCTCCAGCCCCAGGCTTCGACTACATGGTGGCAGGCTCCAGCCTGTGGGGCCCCAGGATGCGGACGGGGGGATCGGACACAGGCTCAATATCACCTGCCACCAATCGCTCCTGCCCCCTGCGGTGTCCTGTGAGCCTGAGTCAGCTGACCGAGGCCAGCTGCAGCTATGCCATGGGTCTTTTAATGTAGTGTAGACGTACCTTGACAGACTCCATTGCCTTTATTCTAGATGAAGACCTGGCCACTGTGTTCAGGTTCAAAAATTCCCTAAGGGATAAAGTGGCCTTATGTATTACATTGATCAAAAGGTACATTTAAAGTGTGTGTGTTTTCTGAACATTTGCCTAAACCTATACTTAAAACATACAAGGTTTGCCACTCTGGTATATTTGGTCTTTCCATACTTATGTATGTGCCTACCAGCATTTGTATGTTAAGTATAACACAGGCATCACTATAGTAAAGTGGAGGTTGACTAAAATGGACTAGTCAAGCAAAGCACTTCAGGTTCACTTTAGGCAATGTCCATTTTAATTAGGCCTCCTTATAACTCTATGCTGCAGTGCTCCCTCCCCAAATCTTTCCAGGCCATCTTTTCCCTTCAGAACCGTAGAGCTATGGAAAGAGATCTATTAGGTCATTTAGTCCATCAACTTATGTCACAGACCTGGTCAGGTTCCAGTTGCCCACTAGACTAAGGACCCAGCCTCTGGGTCCCCTGGTCTTTTAAGCCTCTCAGAGCTTGAACAGAGTCCAGCCACTGCCCTGATCTTGGGGTCCCTAGGTACACACTCAGGGTGCTGACATGCTATCTAGTAGGGATGTAAATACCATTTTAAACGTCAACCGTAAGTTTTGTTTAAATGGTTAACTGGTTGGGGCCGCTCCCGCCGGGCGGTGCGGCTAGGGCTACTCTGGAGTTAGATCGATGCAAGGCAGCTTACCCCTATGTAACTGCCCGGCTATGCTGAGTTTACTCTACCTCCACAAGTGGTTAAGAGTCAAGGTCGATGTAGTTGGGTTGACGCAGTGTCAGTCAACATAAGCAACACAGTATCTACGCTGTTACTGGCTTTCAGGAACCATCTCAAACTGACAGAACAATAAGTACAAGAGCAGCTGGTGAGGATGCACACCACTGACAAGTAGCAAAGTGTAGACACCCACAAGCAATGTAATTAGTGCAGAGGCTGTATGCCTTTGTAAATTAGGACAACTTAATTTTGTAGTGTAGAGATGGCCTTAAACACATCTTTTCAGGCTAGTAGGGTATTGTGAATACACATTCATGATACAGTAGTTTTTCCACAGTCATACTTCATAATATCAAGCGGAACTTTCAGAGAGATCCCCAAATTGTCACACCCTATTGTCACGCCCCATCAAAACACTAGCATCTGGAACCACACGTGGTCGAACCAGAGAGAATTGAGCCGCTGTGTCCCTACACCCCAAACACTCCATGCCATCAATCTTGACAACCTTGATGTGTTCCCTATCCGCTTCACTAGGCCCCACGTCCACCAAGCTGGTGTGATAAAAGGTAGGAGTGCCCTCTGGGGCCTCAGGGCTGAGGGCAACTGAGCTAACATGGGACAAGGGAGGTTTACTCTCCTTTAATTTGGGACAGCTGTTTCTCAGGTGCTCTGGGGAATTGCAGTGAAAGCACCTTCTGGGATCCCCTGCTTGTGCAGGAAATTTGGGACGAGTAACAGGGGAATGAGGAGGTGAACGCCCAGCCTCCTTTTTCCCCGGGGTGAAATGGTGATTCTGTTTCCCACCAAGCCTGTACCCCTCTGCCAGTGGTTTGTTTAACTGCAGCCTGTGCTTGCTCATAAGAGTCTGCATACCCAGCTAATTCACCCACTGCATTTACCTTTTTGTCCCACAAATACTGTTTTACATCATCACTGCACATATCCAGGAATTGTTCCTGAGTAACCAGATCACACATCCCTTCAAAGCTTGTAATGCCTTTCCCCCTCACCCACTTATCTACCAAATCTTTCATTTCGTTTGCA